TCACTTAAAGTGGGAAGTAATGTCTTTTCCAACTTGAAATATATACAGTAGTCAAAATTTGAAGTGGATCAAAAAAAGTTCATCAAAGTTGTTCTAAGACAACAGCGCATTTTGGTTTTAGGTTTTAGGACAACTTTGATGAAAGGTTTTGATCCACTTCAAATGTTGACTACTGTAATCACAAAGAATTGTAATATAATTTTTTTTTTACATTTAACCACTGTATTTTTAAATTAACTCAATTTATGAGACAAACAACAACTATTTTTTTGTTTTAACAGTAAAAAAACAAAATTAAAAATACTCACAATCTCCTCATCACAGGCAGGCACAGCACTCATGTTCGTGTTTTTTGATATCGTTATCGAAGAAGGTGTACTATCGATAAATATCGATATCGTTTTATCGCCCAGGCCTACTGTAGGTTTTCTTATAAAATAGGCTACGTTCTGATGTTAATTCATGTTCATTATGTACTATAGTAGTAAAGAGACAGATTAAATGGGTTCACTTGCCGCTTGAACTGAGGCGCTAAAGCGATCGCGCCTGCTGCATTAAAGAGCACCAAAACTGTATTTATTGTTTGAATTTCGTTATGAATTTGGCATAATTTTAAAGCTGATACTTTGTTTATTAAAAAGTAACAAAGCTTTTTGCGATTAATGGACGGCAAGTGTGCTTCAAATAATATGAAGTTCACACATTAACAGAACACAGCATATAGACTAAGATCTTGATAAGAAGAAGCCATATTAGTAATGATTATAAACGAGAATTGTTAACGATATTGCCAATATCCACACAGCTGACAGCTTTACCTGTTGTAGTTTGTTCAAGTTGTGCACGAAATAGACTCTGCTTTTGTGCACTTTCACTTCGCACATCTCCGTCATGTCGAGCTCTCTCGTGCTGCACAACTGAGCTGTGTTTAGCAGGTGTGCGTCAGCGCTGCTGTCCGGCAGAGATGAGGACTGTTTGAAACTCTTTTTTCTAGGGATTCTCCGATCGATCGGCCGGAGATCGGTAGCGGCCGATAATCACATTTTATGACTCGATCGGTACTCACTAACTTGGCCGATCTCACGAACCGATCACAATTTGATGACGTCAACGCGTGACGACGTACATGATGCGTGGGGACATAAATGATTTGGCGCCGCAGTCATGTCATCGCCGGTGTGGAAATGCTATGACGTTTTGAGAAACAATGAAAAATTTGCTATTTGTCGTGTATATTTTGCATGTAATGTCATGTCAATTTAGGTTAAATAAAGATATCAGTCTTTATTTTTCTTCCTTTTAGGAAACAAATCAAAGACAAAATAAACAAATTCGACTGTTCCTAATATTCTGTATGTTGCTCAAAAACAAAATATATTGTGTTCAGTGGGAAAAAGTGTTGTTTTTTTTTTTTTTTTACCCAGTCATTTAAAAATAACACATTTTAGAGCTGTAACGGCAATACCGTGATACGTGAAACCGTGATATGTTTGCTTAAGGTTATCATACCGTCAAAATAGAGCTGTAACGGCAATACCGTGATACGTGAAACCGTGATATGTTTGCTTAAGTTTACCATACCGTCAAAATCTCATACCGGCCCATGCCTATAAAACACTCATGCTTTTAAGCCAAATACACACTGAAAAGAATAATTTACTGCCATCAGGACACTGGTCACTATTCTCTCTGCCATCTCTGATGAGTTTGTCCGTGTTTTCTCTGTTTTGAACTTATTACTTATTACTAATGCATTCCCTTATTGGATCAATGAACTTTCCAGAACTTTACCGGTTTCAAATGACCTCCTGGGTAGTGTGCTTTATAGTGTCATTTCTAATAACCCAGACACTGCACTTTGACCTATTGTAGTTTGTTCAAGTTCTGCACGAAATAGACACTGCTTTTTTGCACTTTTACTTTGCACATCTCGGTCATTTTCGATGAATTCCAAATCACGCTGTAAACAGTATGCTAAAGGTACCCAAATGTTAAACTATTTCCAGTGAATTTGTGAAGTGCATCCATGCATGTTTTTTTTTTTGCAAGCTAATACTGCTCAAAATCCTCTCGCACAACAGAAGAGTTGTAGAAAAATAAATAAATAAAGGCAATACATTTAGCTAGATTCAAATATTTACATGCAAACCCAAGTACTAACAAATAATTTTGAGATTCATGTTCTAATACTGCCACTTCTAACTAAACCGTAAAATACTTTCAAACTTAAAGGTTAAGCTTAAAGCTTAAAGGTGCAGTCACATTAGCAAAAATCTGTGTGCAAAAAAGTCAAATTACAATGGTGCCGATATGCATGAAACACTGATCACTTTCAAACCAAGCAGCTTTCAATTGGTCATCACAGTGAATTTGTGTGACCATCTTGAACATAAGTGCAATTTGCATGGGAAACTTTATCTCTGTCACACGAATCTCCTAATCACATAGATTCTTATTAGAATGACTGCATTTCGCACATTGTCAACTCACATGTACAAACACTGTTAATGCTGAAATGTGTTGTTCTTAGCAAAATACAAAAGTAGCTACTTTCCCATCAGTATGTGAATTGCATGTGTGTCAATACACCAAGCACAGAAACCAGCTCATATTCAAATCAGGCTTATCCTGCACTGCATGTGTTACAGGCACACTTGTGCATTAAGACTTCTCATTTCTGCTGTCCTGACTCATTATTAGCACCATAATGGACTAGCTTGAAACTCAACTCAATCAGAAAAAGGACACTGCCCAACATTCAGAGAAAGCCCCACTGCCCCTGAAGCATAGTTCAAAAATCCCAGTCCCAACCCAAAGTTGTCTTTCACAGGAAGTGACTGATTGCTGCTCTGATCTCTGTGCTCACATCCGAGCATGATGCCATTGTGCACGTTAATGATGCAAGTTTTCTGCTCTCTCACCACAGAGCTGGGCCTGTTCGAAGCACACAGACTCTTTCAATACCACATTAACATGTGGGCTGCCAAGAGGGGGAGGAGGAGTAACTTGGGAACAAAGCCTCTATAGTTGTCTCAAGCCTGGCTATGAGAGTTATGTAATTTGACTGGCAAGGCTGCATTTCCCCACTGGAGTACCGCAGACAAATCTCACCAAGGTATGGAGTTGCTCTGGAAAGAAGCGAGAACAAGAAAAACACATGTAATGAGCTGAGGGCTTCCTTTCATCTGTAACCTTGCCAAACACCGCCCCTCTTGCAGTCAGCAGATAACGCTGCAAATATGATCAGATCTTTGGTAGGTGGTGTGCAAGGTGCAAGGGGAAATGGAGGTAGAGAGGGCTAAAGCAAGTGCCTTTGTTAACCATCAGCATTTGCGGTGGATTTAGAGTGGTTAAAAATAAAATGTGATTTTGATATACTGCTCCGGGTGCCTGGAAACCATGTGACTGGAATCACATGAGAAGAAGTGGAAGGGGTTTGGGGGGTGAGGAAAACACACACAGTGCGCTGCCGGCATAATGAGCTTTGTGATAAGTCTCCTTGGTTTCCACTGACGGTAAGCAGATATAGTCTGATTTCAGAAGTAAACACCTGAAGACCTCTGAGCTCCAGAGCTCCACAGGGACAACAAAAAAATGGGAGGAAATTATCAGCGCTTCAGAGTATAAAAAAAGGAGCTTGACTGCTGTATATATCTTCAGCACTCTACTAGCCTGTATGCCGAGAGAGAACAGCATTCAAAACTGTAGCAATATGATGCTACATACAAAGTTTTATGGAATAGTTCACTCAAAAGTTAAAATTTGTTCTAAACCCTGCTTTTCTTTAGTGGAACACAAAAGGAGATAAACAGAATGTTTTGTAAGTCTTATGAAAACATCTGACAGAGAAAGTCTGAGAAAAAGAACAAGAATCAATGTTATTCATTAATGCTTTATACCATTTGGTTGTACCACGTTCATCAGGTGGCAATGCAACCATATCGATTGATGCATCGACCAAATAAGTAATGATATAATGTATGTTTTGTTTCATCTGAATATTTGTATTTTTTTTGCACCTCCCGTGAGTTAATACAAATGTAACTGGTGTAAAATAGGCACATAATATCAATCTCACTGATATATCAATACTTTTTTAGGTATTGGCTAATATTGCATCGCCAGCTAAGTGAATTGATGTCAGATCACCTTGTGATGAAATGAAATGTCCAATTTACACCTTTAGTAAATAATTACTAACATTTCAACAAAATGTTATAATAATATAATTTACACTGTATGGAAAACAGCTGCCTAATATCTAATTATGTGCCCCATGGAGGAAGGCCTTGATCTGAAAGGTGAGCAAGTGATAACAGAATTTAGATTTTTGGATGAACTATTCTTAAGCATTTCTCAGTACATAACACCACACTATCTGTTCTACTACTATGGGTCTGCTTGTTTCCATAGGGGAAAGACTGTCATAGGCTGCCACTGCTTAATGATGAAGAAGCATGGTCACATGAGCTGCGTGCTGGAGTGGGACTCTAGATTAGAGACAGCGAGTTCTCTGCAAGCAGTGACCCATTTTCACAACAGCCTCTATGCACACATATACACAGAGGAGGCAAAATCCACACTCAAAAACAAAAACCCTTAACAAAAGAGGCGGCAGGCAGGGCCCAGGCATGCAATAAGCCCTGCTCTTAATGCACACATTCCAGAGCTGAGCCGTCCACCAGCCTGTTGGAACTAGTAGGGGCGCCAACAAACTCAATGGCATCACATTCACAAATAAAAGCTACATGTTCAAACATATATACTCTATTTAACGCAAGCGAGAAACACAAGTGCCTAGTCACTATTCTCAAACTGGCTAAAAATGAACTATATCTAAAGATGACAAACATCCCACTGCAGCCAGAGTCAGACAGACATTGCAGCCTCAGTTACGCTTCCTCAGTGTTTCAAAATTGAACCGTCGCACCAAAAACGAGGAACTAGCCGCTAACAGTCAAACACTCAGTACAAGCTGCAACAGAAAGAAAGGGATTTACCGATTCCATGGCTGTCTTCAGATGGGAAAGGTTAAAATCCAGCTAAAAATGCTGAAGATGTGGCTGTGAAGTCCAAGGAATCCTGCGGAAACAAAATGAAAGACAGATTAATCTCCTGAATACTGATGTTTCACCTTTCAAACATGAACTGAGAGTCATTTCCTCAATGCAGATTCCTTTTTCCGCACACAGAATGTGAAAGGCCAGACTAGACAAGAAAAAAGACAGAGGATTCACCCATTGTGTTTTTTGGTCAGAGGTCCATTTATTAGGAATGGGTTAATCACAATTTCTGGGACAGTTGGTGTGCTGGGACACGATGGGCACATTCCTATGTTGCTGTCACCCTATCCCACAAGCTCCTTGCAACAGTTTCATGACAACAGCTGCATCAAGAGTGTCATTCAAGGCTTGACAGCAATGTCTACTGTACTCTTACTAGGGCTGGGCGATATGGCAAAAAAATTAAATCAAGATTTTTTTTTTCAGAATGTTGACTGATTGAAGATAAATGTAACAAAGTTAAGTATATTTGCAGAAAAGAATGAAATATGAAGGCAAATATTGTACAAACTTGTATTAAGTGAAACCTATGTTCAGAAATAAGAGAAATGCTAAATATTTCTTCAAAATGTAGACATTCAGTTTTACTAAAAAAAAACAAAAAACGTCTAAGCAATTAAAATTCAAAATGACAAAGTATAACACCAGTAGTAGGGTATAATTAACAGTAAAAGTTTTGTAAAAACAAAGAAAATAACAGCACCTTTCAGCCGGTCACCTTCATGTAAACATGAAACGTTTTTAAATTCTACTGCACTGTTTTCCATTGTTTTTCTATGTAAACATGCGATTAAAGGACGTGTTTGACCGCTGTGCTCATGTCTTGCATCTTTTGCAGTTTCTCAAACGACACTGCATTCTGAAAACAGGGTGCTCAAGTTTTTTTTTTTTTACCCCATTCCACAGCATCTCATGTTTTTCAACACAAATCACATTCTGTGTGAATAGCCCCTTACGACTATCTATATGCTATGGTTGTGGATATGCAACATTATATGTTGTGGCCCTTCATGTTGTATGCTCTAGAATAAAATATAAAAATATCTTAAGCTTGTGTTATCCACAGACCTCATTCCAGGCATTTCACCAAAAACACATTTAAAAAAAATATCCATTGACTTTGAGACAATGAAACCATAAGTGCTAAAATGCTAACTCGTTCCAGTGCTTTGGCCTACAAATATACACCATCCCTGCAGCACTCTAACCCTCATTCAACCATTCTGCCAAAAATAAAACAACAAGTAAAAACAAAAAAGATTTATAACATCAACCATAATGTTTATGGGTCATAAAATAAATCATGAGAAAACTCATAAGGCCTCCTTCAATGTAAGCTTACAGGGTTATTTTGCATATTTCATCAACTGGCAGGCAAAAAATGCAAACTAGATCACTTCGAAAAACATTAGCACACCACTTTTCAACAATCTACACAATTAGAAGTACCATCGTCTATAGAACAAATATGACAAAACATGTTTCGCATCTTATGCAAAAGATACTAATGGCGCTTTTCCACTACATGGTACGGCTCGGCACAGCACGGCTCAGTTTGCGTTTCCACTGCAGTTTAGTACCGCTTTAAAGTGGGCAGGATTATAGACATGTCGTTAGTTGCGCCGCCTCTAATGCCGTGACCTCCTGAAAAACTTTTTCATTCAACGTTGTCCCATCAAGCTCTCACTGGATCCGCTTCCTCAGCTATCAACGAGAGTAACATCTGTCCTTCGTCAACAGACCAAGAAATAGCTATTATTTTGTTACTACGCTCGTTTGAAACGTTTGCGTTCGTTCAAAGGTGGGCTCGTTCGAAAACTGTTGAGTTTGTTCGAAAAAAGTTGCGTTTGATCCTCGCTGGCTGTACGGATGTAATCTAGCGGGTCTAGTGTCTCGTGTCGCAAGTTCAATGACGCAGGTAGTGACGATTCTCTCTGGCCAATCAGTGATCAGCAGGGTTTACACGTCACATTCTGGTAACAGTACGGCTAGCTTGGAACCTCAGCCGAAGTGGTACTGAAAAAAGTACCAGGTACTGTACAGAGTGGAAACCCTCCCCCCCAAAAGCGAGCCGTGCCGTGCCGTACCGTACCGTACCATGCAGTGGAAAAGCGCCATAAATTTGATCAGCTGACTAGAGTATAGCACGGAGTGTCAAAGGCCCCCTCCGGTCACTCCTCATTAAGGGCAGTCCTCACTCAGATGGGGTGTCTAGGAGGATCAGAACCCTGAGGATTCTCCCAGCAGGAATGTGCCAGATCGGATTAATCCTGAGTGGAGAGAACTCCCTCTTAATGGGGCTTCAAAATGAGACTGTAATCTTACCGAGAAAATCCTCAGAATACCGAGAACAAGAGTAGCTCGGCTGCCTGCACATACACACATCAACTAGCCATTGTTAAACTCACCGTAAGCTTCTGGCTTGAAAGACCACCAGGTTATGGGAGGATATGCTTAAGTCATTTAGAACTTACAAAAACTAGAAATTACAAAGAAAGAAGTCACTCAACTGAAGTGTTTGTCAAAACCAGTTTGAGATCAGGTAGAACAGAAGTAATTCTTTATATTTTAAGCTTCCCAGACCAGTTTACGGTGTTCATTAGATGGTAGTGGTGAGACAGTCTCTCTCTCTCAGTCTCTCCTGTCCTGTTGTTGAGTCATGCTCTGTTGACCCTAAAAGGAAACTCTAGGACTGAGGAAGGCTAAAGCCCTTTAAATCACCAGTCAAATGGGCTGTTTATTAGTGCATGTGAAAGAGGATGCTTTCAAAATTCTTTCTAGCAAAGGAAAGAAACGTTACTGCAGAGAATAGACCTGCCAAGCTTGCCACATCCTGACCATCAGGCTATGAACACTATATCAAAACAGGCAAAGCAAGCAGACCCAGTTAAAAATCAACTGGTTTAACGCATACAGAAAAAAATAAAATAAAATCAACCTAAGCTTAAAATTATCTCTCTCAAGGCTCCAGACAAAAATAAATAAATGAAATAAAAGTTGATTAAGGAGCCATTGGATCCTACAAGAAACAAAATTAGTAGAGATGCACCGATTGCAATTTTCTTAGCCGATTCAGATTTCCGATTGTTTATTTCGTACTATAGTAGTAAAGAGAAAGATATGATAGGTTCACATGCCGCTTGAAGGAGCAAGAAAACAGTATTTATTGTTTGAATTTCATTATGAATTTGGAAGAATTTTAAAGCCGATGCTTTGTTTATTAAAAGGCAACAGAGCACAAAGCTTATTGTGATTATTGGACGACAAGTGCACTGCAAATAATATGAAGTTCACACATGAACAGAACACAGCATATAGACAAAATATCTTGATAACAAGAAGCCATATTAGTATCGATTATAAACGAGAATTGTTAACGATATTGTTAATGTCCACACAGCTGACTACCTGTTGTAGTTTGTTCAAGTTGTGCACGAAATAGACACTGCTTTTTCGCACTTTTACTTTGCACGTCTCCGTCATTTTCGATCTCTCTCATGCTGCCACAACTGGAGCTGCTTTTAGCATGTGTGCAGTCAACACTGGCGTTTGGAAGAGATGAGGACTGTTTTTCCACTAAAACTTCGATGCGCGTCATCTCAGTTTATTACATCAACCTAACAAATGATGTGTTCGCAAAACAATCAGGAAAACAGGCATTACATGCACGTTTTTAAAATCATAACATGTAAATTTATATATTACCAGTTTTTACCATACTTTCAAAACAAAAATGAAAATGGGAAAAATATGCAATATGTATACAATATATATACAAAATGTGTTTTACTGAGAAAAAAAACTATATTTGGTTTTTAAAAAGCCTTTTTCCAAAAGGTACATCTGGAAAAAGGGGGGTCGTCTTATAATCAGGGTCGTCTTATATTCGGGCCAATACGGTACTTCAGTCTGTGTGCATTGAATTTATTTAATACACGAGTTTCACAATTTGAGTTGAATTACTGAAATAAATGAACTTTTCCACGACATTCTAATTTATTGAGATGCACCTGTAGTTGCCAGTGGCGATCTCAGCAAAAACTTCACTCACAAATTAATATTTTTGGTCGCAAATGCAACCATTTTAGGTGCAGTCTGGAGCCCTGTGAAGCCTAACCAAGTATAGTCAACATAAGCAGGAAAAAAGAGACAGAACAGGGTCTAATTTAAAGTCAACATTAAATTAAAAACGTACCTTATATTTTAATGGCTGCACTTATAAACGATTCATCTGTGCATGCAATTTCAAAAAGAAATAATTTACAAACATTCACCAAAACAAAGCAAAAAATATTAAAAGTCAGCATGAACCTGAAATTTCACTTCAGTACTGTGATGTATTTCTGATTGAAAATATTGAATAGGGTTGGGTGATGTCTACAAAATTGGCATCGGGTGATGTCTACAGTGAAACATCGCGATGGACGATGACATCGGCGGGGGCGGGGGCGGGGGCGA